GATCTCTTCTGTCATCCGCAGATTAAAATATTATGAGATAAGAGCTAAAGGCTAAGCTTTCGCTTACCCAGAGTGTTACCGCTAGGATCAAAATGACTATTCGAGGTTAGACCCGCATTGTTAGAGCCACAACAAGCTAATCCCAGTTTATATGGGGTATTATCTACCCTTGATTTCAAAGCTAGAAGCTCAATGTCAGATCTGTCCTTGGGCTAGTTATCACCGTGCACTTTTTCATGTAGCCATTAGGCATAAAGTGGTAAGTTTGTTGTACTTTCGTCCAAGCCACTTGGATTTCCTTTCAGATGGTTGCGATACCCAGTTAATTGGTACTGGACAGCTTGTTGGTTTGGTATAACACCAATATTTTGTTTGGTTAGCTTTTATGTACTGTATATTTTGAGTTAAAATTTTTCAAGCGATTTATAGCCCATATATAATACTCAGCGACAAATCTTTATCTTGCAGGTTGTTGGCTGTATGTCTATATACGCCGCCTTTGTTAGCGGCTTCTATCGGTTAGCGACAATTTTTCTTATGAAATGTTAAAAAAATTTTTTGCTTTCTACCTTAACGTAGGCTTATTCTTTAAATAGCGAGTACGGGACTGTAGTGATTATTTTTATGCGTTTTGTGTTGCAACAACTGCTTAAAACTGGCATTTTCAAAACTCTGTATGCGTGTTTCGAGTGCATTTTATCGGGGAGGGCTTTTAAGTTGGGGACCAGAGAAGCTAAGAAACTGAAATTTGAGGAAGACCCACTAGGCGTATGCAAACTCATGAACATAAATCCAGCGATCTCGCGTCTAGATCTTACGTACGACCATATGAAAGTTTTGGTGAATAAATTAATAACTCGGAAAATACAAAAGTTAGGGAGTTGAAATTTCAGAAGAGAGTCCCTTGCCCGCATGTGGTACTGCAGAATTAAATTTAGCCTTCACTTGTGCCTAGGTCTCACGCACGGATATGTGGAAGTTTTGGCGTGAAAATTACTAACTCTGAGCCAGAAACCAAAATTAACATGTGACGTATTAAACAGTAATGCCATGTACACTTTTACCAGAAAGGCCCCTTGAACAGAGTTGCATAAGCATCAGCTCGGCAGGGTCGCAAAAGCGTCCGCCAAACAGAATTGTATAAGCGTTCCATGGTGCGCGCCACTATTTACAGTTCTTACTTGCACTTATCATTACGTCTGTGTTTACAGCTGCTTATCTGTGCCAAACATTGATAAAAGGCACAGCCCTAACCCGACTGATCTTATCTTGCTATGTGGTTTTTTCTGTTGCGTATCATAAATTTCTACCTTGCTGATCCTCGACTTTTTACCGCCTAGTAACATCGCCGATACTGTAACATT